CAAACATTATGATATGGGGGGTGAAAATTGTAGTACGTCTCCTCTGTATCTTTCCCACCGTATTTTGAAACTTTCATGTAATTCGAAGTTTCTTCGACTGAGATCGATTTTCAAAAAGTGTCTTACACTAAATATGTTATGAGAGTATTAGTGTGTGTCACAATATTTCATCACACTAACATCTTCTCATCTACTTCTACACTTACATTCCATTCTATGAGGATATGTCTGAAGAAAAGATTCAAACTGAGACTTAAACCAACATTCAGATCGTGAGACATTAAAATATATTTAAAAGCAAATGACAGCGCATTTTATGCACTTGTATTTCATTTAAAATAAATTCTTTCGAAAAAAAAAATGTCGAATTTCTATTCAACTTAAATAATATTAAAAGGCATCATAACGGTGTTACATCTTGGCACGATGATTATCCGTTGTGACTAGTGATTGTCGTATCTGGGTGTGGATGTGGGGTGGAGGTAGGGTGTGGGTGTGGATGTGTGGGGTGTGGGTGATGGTGTGGATGTAGGTGTGGGTGTGAATGGATATGGTGTCGATTGAGCAAAAACTATAACAGCGAAAAGTGTTTTTAGCGAAAAAAAGTACGCGAAAATTATCATAGCGAAAATAACTTTCAGCGAAAATAAACAATAGCGAAAAGTAAAACTGCGAAAGGCAAAGTAGCGAAAACTCAAAATTTTTTATTAGCGAAGAAAAACAGCGACTGGAGAGACTAGAGAAATCTTTTCTTGATAAATTCGATTGTTTATGTTTTATGGTGAATCATCATCCTGATGTGTATAAATGTATGGTAGCTCTTGCTCGTTCTGCTCTTCTCGACGTGTCTACCTATTATATTCTTTTTCTTGATATATAATCGTCCGTATGTGATGTTACATAGTTCACTGGTGTATACATGATCCATTTAGTCCATTTTACCAACCAGTTATGACTGACTCGACAATACTTTCTTTTACCGCTTCAAATCGAGGTAAGCCAATGCTTATTTATTCAGGATATGTTTATCGATTGAAAAAGTCGACAAAAAAAGTTAAATACTGGGTTTGTCAATCAAATAGCTGTGCAGTAAATGTTCATACTAATGCAAATGATCAATTTATTAAAGCTAATGGACGACATCAACATTTGCCTGCACCCGAACGTATTGAACTTCGAGATTTGAAACATACGGTAAAGGAGAGGGTGGAAAATGAAACGACTTCTGTACCCAAAATTTATGAAGAAGAATTAGCTCGTTCTAATCTCTCTGCAGCTGCTCTTATCATTGCACCACTTGCAGCTGATGCAAGTAAGTTGTTTGTCTATTTCAATTTCTAATGTGTCGCTGTTCTTTATAGAATCTGTTTTAAATCGTGTACGTCGAAATATAACTCCACCAATACCTACATCAAGTGATTTCGATATTCCTGATTTTTACCGACAAACACTTAATGGTAAACTACTCGTTTGTACCGATAGGTTTATTAGAAACAAACGAATGATTTTATTTGCAACTGATAAGCAACTAGAAACGTTGTTCTCATCTGAATGGATTTTTCTCGATGGGACATTCGATTCATGTCCATCGCAGTTTAAACAAATCTATACAATTCATGGCTTGAAATTTCAACAAAGTGAGTTCATCAATTATCCAAAGCTTCTGATTTATATTGTCGTTTAGATCTACCATGTGTTATAAGTCTGCTTTCAGGAAAATCTACTGATATATATATACAATTACTTTCTGAGCTTGAATATCATGCTGAACGATTAAATATGAAATTTGAACCACGGCATGTGATGTCAGATTTCGAAATGTCGCTGATTAAAGCTATTAAATAAAAAGTTAGTTTTTTCTAAATTTATGATTAATTTTAATTTTTCGTTTCACTAGTTTCCAATGGCAATGCATCATGGTTGTTACTTTCACTATTGTCAGTCACTTTACAAACAAGTTCAACTACTCGGTCTAGCAACAGCATATCTTGACGATGAAAGTACACGTTTATCTTGTAGAAGCACAATGGCTCTTGCTCTTCTCCCCATCGAACTTATAGAAGAAGCTGTAAAACTTCTAGAAGATGATTCTCTTCCAGAAATGGCAGATTTCTTTAAATATTTCAAATATCAATGGTTAACACGAATGCCTCCAAAATACTGGAATGTGTCAACACTCGAGTTTCGTACAAATAACTTCGCCGAGGGTGAGCTTTTGCCTTGTCTTGAAAAGTGTATATCTGTCTTTTCTCACATAGGTTGGCACAACAAGTTCAACAATCGTGTCGACAAAACTCATCCAAACATTTGGAGACTGTTTGAATGTTTACAACGTGAGGAATTATCATTTCGACAACAATTAAGAAAAATTAACTGTGGTATGTAGAAAAAAACAAATGACACCTGCTGCTCTATCCGAACACAAATCGTAACTCTAACGAAACGTCATGAACAAAAACAAATTACTCTATTAGAATTTATTCATGGTTTATCTATGATCGTAGCTCAAAATTCTGCAACTGTTCTTTGATTTTCTGATCCAAATACTTCATTTCTAAATCTTTACTTTTTATATTATCTGATGTTCCTGTATAACACTTCTTTTCTTAAAATTAATAAAATATTATTGTTCATTTAATTAAACTGAAGATTTCTCTATTTTACACTTTGCTATTTTATTCTTCGCAATTTGCACAAAAAATACCTTTGCTGGAAAACTTTTCGCTAAATGATCACTTCGCTCAAAATCTTTTCGTCGTTTTCTTTTTTCGCTGATTCGTATTCGCTGAAAACTTTTCGCTTAAAAATCTTTCGCTGATTTGCCACCATACCTGTGAATGCATTATTCATTACACACCTACACCCACAAAAGAGTTTTTTCTTTCAAAAGCTAGAAAATACATTGTTAGATCAATTAGACGCAAAATAATTTGTTGCAACACATTTCATTGTTGGTCTATTCAGAGCAAACAAATTCATCACACAAAAGTAAAAGGAGGGTGTGGGTGTGGGTCTGGGTGTACATAAAGAGAAGAATCACACCCACAGTTACACCCACACCCACCCATAGTCACACCCACACCCACACCCACCCACACCCACACACCCACACCCACACCCATCCTTTATCAGCAATGATTTGAACTGATTCTTCTGCATATTCCAATAGTCCTGATTGTCTTAGAACTGTAATGTCATGTACACTACCATGATAACACTCTGATACATGTACTATGTGATGATTAAAGTCACAAGCTATTTGCACTTTTATGGCATAGTTTGTTGAACTTTTTGCATGATAATATGCTTTACGTTGATTTGAATCGTGTGGTTCGGGGATAGCGATAAAAGTTGAATCAACTATTAACTTATGGTGTTCTTCAGGTCCATGTTTACTAACACTACTAGCTATATCAGCAGGTAATGATACTAATTGTTGGTATATACACGAATGCAGTATATTCATAACCTCTGTTAAGAAATAATTGACTGTTGATTGCGTCAAATTTAGTTCTGTAGAAATGTAATGTTCTGAATGATAATACTTTAAATACCATAACGTCACTACCAACAAATTCATAGGAGACAAAAGTAATGTGTTGTTGTTTGATTGTTCCTTGGTTCTATTAAAGCAATAATTTATACGTGATTGTTCACACATCGAGTACAGCTGTTCTACTTGTTCAATATCATGTCCTGTATGTTGTATACAAGATTCATTAGTACGTCTCCATTCAGACCACGGTCGTTGTTCTACAAAATGCGCAAAGGAACACATTATCAATTATCTGTTCTATAATTTTATGAGATAGAATAATGCATCGGGTACGTAAGTCTAACCCAAGAAGTTGAATTTCACTTACCGTTATCTAAAGCTTGAAGTTGTTGAATAGCAATATGCTTCTCTTCAACTTTCTGTGTTTTGTCTTCAAGTTCTGATGTACAATAGACACAGCTGTCACGGTGCCGAAAGAAGTTTTTGTACAATCCAGATCTTCCTGAACCAATACATGTATAGGTTAACATCGAGTGACAGTTACTGCAGTATTTTCGATGATCAGTCGTAGTAGATTGACATCGAGAACAACCCCATTCAACTTGTGGAGAATACATAATACCAATGTGAAAACGTTTGTATTGAAGTGAAAATGTATTTAGAAAAGAGAATAAGAAGAGTCTTATTATGCACGAAATCCACACTGAGAATAAAAGAAATTCGCGAGAAAAAAAACAGAAAGGAAAAAGAAAATCGTCGCTCTTGGATATTTCACAGACGAAAATAAGAGTGTGTATAAGCATCATATGTGAGTTATACGAGACAATATAATCAAAATAAACAAAATAGGAAAAAATGCTATATGTGTGATTCGAAACACGTACCTTATACCGTTCTATCCGATTTCCTATAATAGATGTCTCCCCAAATTCTCTACTCCACTATAGAGATCCCTAGTAGAAATTGATCTATATTCACGAATTGAATGGGTAATACCTTAACAAAATAGTCATAAAGGCACACTTCGTGACTTTTGATTTTAGAGGGATATTAGACTTCAAATTATAATAGATCATTAGCATCATACACGTGTTACAATTGGTAAAAAAATCACACTTTTGTGATGACTAATTGAAGCTATATATACAAATAAGAACCGGGGCCTCATACCGTTGGTCATGCCCATATGTATATATGTATATGCATAGTCACTCGAACCACACGCAGTAACGAAAAAAAAGAATGAATATGTATGTGTATATATCGAATATAAGTTAGCGCCATGACGTGACATCCATGGACGCTAACAGTTTGGCTTACTTCTTTCGACCGCCGAGAAGTTAATTCGGATTTAACACACTTTTCAGAGATGAGTTCAATTTTATGCATCAATCGAGAAAGAACTTTATCTAACAATTAAAATGACGAATATGCCTCGCTAAAATTGCTTTATATCATCGATAAATAGATGTTTTCAATAGGATGAACTATAGAATAGAAATGAATAGTGATCGAAGCATAAAAATAACCAACAATGCAATATTTAACAAATTTATAGTTGAAATAAATAAATTTCATTAGTCAGTCATTAATTATCAAAGAGCAATAGAAGCGACATCTTGTTTCGTGAATATGTGCTAAAACTATGCACTTCGACTACGTTATAGTGGTCATTTCACGGTTCTGATTGATGCATTTAACTCATAAGCGTAGACGCATGTAGATTTAATTCGTAATGAATATTGAGTTATTTTTCTAGTAGACACCAGATCTAAGAAAATAAAATGTTTTATTTTCTTATATAGATTTGCAAAATTTCATTGACCTCAAAAATGACCTATCAGGTTGGCGAAAAACATTTAATTCATAACTTTTTTGTGAGTATATTTTCTGTCTGCTTTTTGTTCTGTCATATCCATTAAAAAATTGTCCTTAATCTTTCGTTTAAGACCATTAGTTTCCATTTTTAATATCTTGTAATTCCAGTTATTTTGATGTTTATTTTCCGTACAGTGTTCTTCTATCTTAGAATATCCTATTTTTTAAATGCATTTTGATGTTCAAGTTTCCTTTCCTTAGCTCCTCCTGATGTTCCACCTGTATATGAACCTTTACAACTTATACAATCATGTTGATAGATAACTTGTTTCTTTTCATTTTTCTCTTGATGTGTAGAATTTTAACATTGAATTGATTCTAGTTTGAGAGTTGCAACCAAATTTCATCGTTTTCATAGGTAAATCTAATAGCATTTTGATCTTCTTTGCTAATAAACTAGAATAGTCATTATAGTAAGGTATTAAAGTATAAATGTTATCTCCATTAGCTGCTTGTTTTTGTTTAGTGTCATGGTTATTTAATTCAAATCTTCTCAATGCTTTTCAAATTACATTCTGAAGGCAATCATTTGCTAGAAATATTTTTTTACAATAATCTAATTCTTTTTTAAAATAAGAATTTAGATGAACACAATCTTACAGTTGTAGTACTCAGACATTCAATCAAATTAGTTTTTTATTGTTTTAGTTGATTACTAGTCCATTTCAAATATAGCCCCGTATCAGTGAGTTTATGATACACATATGTTATACTTATTTTTTCTTGTCTTTCTATCAAAACATTAAGGAAAGGTAATTTATTATTCTGTTGTACCTCCACTAGAAACTTAATGGTTTTTTTTAAAATTTTTAAAAATCTATTAAATTTGAGCACACCTTTCTGAGTGCCATTCATTAACATAAAAATATCATCAACGTATATGTAATAAATGTCAGGTTTCTTTTCATTATATTTATCTATATTCTCTTGTAAATTACTCATAGACTGACCATCATCACTCTATTTACCTGATCATAATGTATTTTTGTTAAATGTGAAGTTAGAATGTTTTGTACAATAATAAAATAGTTCTTCGAGGTCTTTATTATTCATTTTTAATTGTGGATTATAGTTTTTAATGTTTTCTATGCAGATTTTTAAAGCTTTATTTAACGTTATGTTAGAAAAAAATGAATATACATCAAATGAACACATTAATTCAGGTGTTGTTTTATATTATTTACTTTTCTCCAGAAGTTCAAAAGAATCTTTGATATAAGATTTATTTGAAGTTATAGCAAATGCTAATGATTTGGCTAAATATTTAGCTGTATTATAATTATATGAATTGAAACTACAGATACTTGGTCTTACAGGTTGATTCAGGTGGTGTATTTTAGTGAGCAAGTAAGCTTCCAGTGTTTTGAATTCTGTATAATTCACGATTTTCAATTTAAATTGGTGAAAAATGTTTTGAATACTTTTTGGTCATTAAGCAACTGATTTTTTTCATTAATAGTGTTCTCTATTT